GCCGTAGCGCTGTTTTGTTGTGGCGCTGCGGGCGTGATCTACCATTTCCTCGTTTTTTTCAGTCTGTATCCCGCAATGAACCACCAGGGCCATCCCTCACTGCATCGTATGGTCAGCAGTGGCACGGTCCTGGTCCCAACGCTGGCAATCCTGCTTTGTCGCAACCTGACGCTGTTGCCTACCCTCAACACCAAGGACAACAGGTGTGCGAATATGTTTAGCTTTAAGGGGGGGGGGAGGGTCAGAGTGGCCTAATTGTCTCTTACATCTTTCTGTCTTAGGTATCGTCAAATGCTGTGAAGGATCCTACGAAAACGAAAATTCAAGAGTGTATAAACAAGAAACGACTCGAAGCAGCTAGAATCTCCGGTAGTGGTTCAAGTACTTACCGTTTTCTTCAGGTTCTCAAGTGTGATTTCTCCTTTTTAGCTGGTTTCCCTGGTCCAACATCATCTCAGCCTTCCACGATTGGGCCTAATTTGACGCAAGCGTCGTATACTGACTCAGGTTTCAACCAGTCAGCAAGCAACCGACCCGTATCAGGTGGACAAATTTTACTGTTGGAACCTTTTTCTAGGAGCTTCCCTCTTAGGCTCAACTAATTAATTTATCCTGACTGGCTTGTTGAGTAGTTTATTGATTCTAGTTTTGAGGAGATAATTATGAGCCTTTCTGGAAACATCTATAACTAAATTTGTCGAGCGACCAAGAAATTAAAAAAGAGTTCGTATCTTTTCCGTTTCCTGTCTATGGGTGCCTTGGACTATGAGACGCGCTAAATTTTAGACCTATTTTAGTAGAAGCCTCAACCTTGGGTAAACTTTTTGGTTGTCAATTGATTGATTTCAGGTGATTACCAAACTCATCAAAATCAGAACAACTTCCAACAGAACAGTGGCCAACATCTTCAATCGATGCTGCAACAGTCGTCTCAATCAATAGACCCATCCCATCAGTCCCAACAGCAGCAGCAACAAATGCAGCAGCAGCAGCAACAACAACAGCAACAACAACAGCCGATGCAGACATCACAGCAACAACCTCTAATCAACTTCATATCACCTCCCGCGCATCAACAGCAACAACAACAACAATCTGTCCAGCAGTCATCATCCGTTGTGCAACATTCAATGCAACCTCAAGTTATGCAACAGTTGCAACATCACATGCCGCAACAAATGCCTCCTGGTCTTCAACAATCACATATGGCGTCATCCCAGCAAATGCAATCACAACAGTCCATGCAACAAATGCCACAGCAATCGCTTTTGCAGCAACAAATGGGCCAACCTTTAGTGCAACAGCAGCCACGGTCAAATAATAATCAAGGTAAGCAACACCTTCAAACTTCCTCTCCTGGAAATTCCCTCTTTCAGGTTTTTGCCATGTATTTGCTGTTTCTGCTCTGAAACTTTAGTACCTAGACTAAAGGCATTGGCACGATAATTCGGTACCGTCTATAACAGGGGTACTAATTAGTGGGAAGGTGGCGAAAAAGCGAAATAAAACGGTAGAAATCCTGCAAAAAAATCCGTTGTTACACGATTCAGAAGGCAATGTCGGACGAGTTTCCCGTTGGCATCGTGCCAGTAGTTGCCGCAGTAGATACGGGTGCATGTACGTACTCATATATCCATGCAGCACGCAGCGCTTCATATCAATCCCTTCGCTTCATATTGTACTTCGCAAATGAAGCGATACGAGCATCAGGATCGGTCGGACATTTGTGGGCGGGCGGGCGCGGTGGGCGTCCGGGTCGGTATGTTGCAGCTTGATAGGGCCTTATGAGGGTACCTTCCTTGGGAAGGGCGTTACGCAGCGCCTGCGAGCTGGTGCGAATGTTGCGCACGCGACAGCCTCTCACGTCGCTACTGAGACCTGCTCAGCTACTATCTTGGCCATCCAACCGAAGTGAACTCACCGTTTTAGTGTAGCTTACCAGCGTCAACACTTAATGATTGTGTTAGCGCATCCTGTTCCTAATGCTACATTCATTTTTAAGCTGTTGAATATCGATAGTAAGCAATAGTTCAGAGTAACTGTTGATTTCCTTCATACGCGCTGAATTGGAAAGGCAAGATTTTTTGAGTCAGACACTGTAATTTTATTGTGGAACTGTCCGGTATTAAATTATGCTCGCCTTTCCGATTGCTGCCATCAAGTGCGAGGAATGTCGGGGACAATGTGGGATTATGACAAGAGTTGATAGACGGTATCTTTTTCAGGTATGGTAACTAGTCAACAGTTCGCTCAAGGAGGTGGTTCTTCTCAACATCAGACTGGAATGGGTGGTCCTATGCAGATGAGTTATCAAGGCCAACCACACACGGGTCCACAACCTTCGCAACAACCTCGAAATCCAATGGGTCAGTTCGCATCCAGAGATGGAACGATGAATGTGGAGTACCAGCAAGGTATTTTCTGCAGAAAAGTAGAGAAGCAGAGATATTTTACTGATATGTATTTAGGTACCCGCGGAGGTCGTCAGCAACTACAGATGGGTTCGCAAGGTGGTGTGGTCCGTAATGGAATGCCGGGCACCCAGATGAGTGGTCAAACGCATATGGGATCCCAGCATGTTCCTGATGGCCACCAGATGATGACACAGCAAATGGGAGGAATACCAGTGGGTACGCAGCAGATGTCACATCAGATGGGTCAAGCTCCAATGTCAGGACAACAGTATTACATGCCACAGGATCAGAGGTGCGTCTAACTTTTATGTCAGTACTTAAGACAAGATGAACACTCATTTTGAGGATCCTGGTGCTTGCCATATGTGGGAGAATGGGTCCGCAACTGCAGAAACCTGCCACTTTCAGTGGACAAAAGTACATAGAAACGGAACTGCAGGGTTGTGATATACGGGTGCCGTCCCATACATCGCCGCTCAACCATACGTCTAACCATAGCCAAATGCGCTACTTGTCTGCGCCCTCTCACTTCTGTCCTCTACCGCTCAGTGCATTATTCGCTACGGGACCTTGGTATCGACGTACGTGCAACAACTTAAGGGTAGCTTCGGCGGAGTATGGAGACTGCACTTGGGTACCCCACCCCCTTCCACTGCAGGCCTGTCCCCGTGCACTTTTGAGCAGGAAAGTGGCACGCTCTGCAGCTGCGGACCCGTCCGCCTCACACATGCGAGGACCATCCTCGGAGGGAGTGTGAAGTTTGTCTTTGAGTCCACCGTTTTGAGTCGCCGAGTAAGGGAGGCAAGAAGCAACGTCATTCGTGCGCCTTCTTTCCAGCTTTTTCAAGGTAGAGGAGGGGCGCACCAGTGACGTTATTTCTTTGCCCCACCCGCTCGACAATCCCGATCCCATCTCCAGGCGCGTGCATAAGGCTGCGTTTATACTTTGCGGCAGCGTAGCGCTTCCAGCGTACGCCAGCGGCAGTGTCGGGGAAAGGATAGGTATCGATCTAGCGTTCCCAGCGCCACCAGCGTACGCTGGCGTAACGCTAGCGTACGCCAGCGTAGCGAGGGCACGGGATGTATAGGTATCGATCTAGCGCTACCAGCGTTTCACGAGCGTTTCACTAGCGTTTCGCTAGCGCTTGCAGCGGCGGCTAGAGAGTGTAGAAGAGTAGGAGAGTACAAAATACTCTCCTACTCTTCTATACTCTCTAGCCCCGCCGCTGCAAACGCTAGCGAACGCTAGTGAAACGCTGGAAGCGCTACGCTACGCTGCCGCAAAGTATAAACGCAGCCTAAAGGCTTGATAATTAGGAAGAAACTTATAAGAAAGGGGCAGAAGTTTCAGCACAAGAACGCAAGGGTCGACTCTGTTTCTTTAGTTTCCTTTTGTGTGGATTCATTAGGATCTGGGTCACCTAATTTTGCATTTCTCGTCCCCTTCATTACGGCATTTGTTTTCAGAATGCTGAACCAGCCTTACAATCATTCTCAGTACCCGCAGAACAACCAGTTTTAGCGGTAGTCCTGAACATTCGCGGAGTTGAAGAAGATTTCTTACGGGTATTTTAATAGTGATTAAGTATGAAATGAATAGTTCAGAAAATAGGCCAGTTTTTTACTCATGGTGCTCTTGGTCGTTTCAACCTTATTTATTAACCCTTAGTTTTATGTTTTGAGATTTATTACATCTACTGTGTTTCGATTGATAGTTTATAACTGTATATAGTTGTAAAGCCAACATTTGGCTTGTGTTAAACTGTCTCATTTCTTGACCACACAGTGCTGTCTTGAACAGCAAAGTACGTTATAGTTAATGTCAGAAAATTTCTGTAAGTCACTCTAGTAAAGAGGATTGAACCTCTTTGCTTCGGGATTTGTATTTACATTGTACCATTGTACCTTTTATACCGTTGCGTGTTTCATAATTTATTGCGGTACCATTTTAACAATGTATTGAACATGTTTAGTCTCCTCGTAGCAGGAGATTTACTAAATGTGTAAAGCTTGTACTTCTGCATTTTGTGATAAATTGTTATATTTGTATATTTGTTATGTTGAAATTCCTTCTACCTGTAAATACGGTCCTATTTCTAAACTATTTATTAAGAATCATTGAAACATCCGGTTGAGACCTGATGACTTCATGCGGGGACGCAAACATGTACTAGTTAGTTGTTCCTGCCATGGTAGTATACCACTGCACTTGCATACCGTAATTCGCTGCGGATGAAGGGGCGTGTCAATCCGTATGAGTTCAAACCCGTGCTCGGCCAGTTGAAGCGGGTATGCGATAACAATTGGTAGAAAACGAGCGTCTCGCTTCAACATCCGGTGGAGAACAACAGTTTTGGCACTGTGCCAAACTCATCCGTCTTGACACGCCCATTCGTCCGCAGTGAACAGACTATAATTCGCTGCAATCCCTATGGGTTTGCAAGCAGAATGTGACTTTATGGCAGGGTATTTGAAGTGCATGTGGTAGGATAGGGCAGACTATACCTCAGCGTTGTGCTTTTGTCTTGCCACCAAGGTTTATTTATATAATTTTACCAGGTATGGACCACCATGGATGCATAACTCTATATTGTCCATTTTCTTTTGGCTTCTTGCCAGTTTACCGTTCTCGCCTTTGTTACCTTCTGCATACTTATAACTTATTCACACTCAGAAATCGTGCCGTGAGTCCGAAATTAGCCTCTCTAATATATGAAGGTCAAAATACTTATTTCATTACTTACAGTCATGCGGATACAGCTATTCCTTTAATGTCAGCGAAAACATCAAAAGTACTATCGTGGTATCAGTCAACGGCGGATAAACGGATACTACGTAGGCATAAGATTGGACCGCCCGATGTGCATCCACAAGAGCCACGACAAGAAGAAGACAACCTTAGCAATGAGAGATTGCGGAAAGGCTATCAGGTAGAATACTAGTAATTTGTTGGAACTATTAGGTAGATCGGGAAGTGCTGCTGTAAGTAATCTTTCTTTAAGTGCACTCGAGGTAGGTTAACATATATTGACTGGCTGTCGTTTCGGGAGCTATTTTCCTTCGAAGCCTGATATGTTTGAAATCAACTTGATTTTTCGGACCGTAATATCTCACATTTAGGCAGCGTTCATTCATCGAATTTTCGCGCGTCGACGCTCTATAATTACAACAGCGCTCCAGGGTATAAAAGCGAACGAACCGCGGACGGGAATCGATCGGTGCCGCTCTAGGGACCAGTGCCGATCGATACCACAATGCATGATTGAGCAACGTTCTCCCACACATTCTCAATACATTGGCGGGTGGCGCTGATCGATTCCCGTGCGTGACTGCGTTTGCGTGTATAGCCTTGGAGCGCTGTTGCAATAGTAGCGCGACACAGCGCGTCGTCGCGAACTCTGAACGCTGCCTTAGCCACAGAGGAGACCTTGGATCACATCTTAAACAATATTGAGTTGGAACCACCTGAAAGTCCTGCGAAATGATGAACGAAATCCCGAACACTGAATGCCTCAAATCATTCTCCTTCTAATCATAGATTCCTAACTTTTTCTAAACCCGGCTGGAAGGACATTCAAGATGTTTCTTCCGTAGTCAGACCCCAAAGTGGTTTGAATTTTCTAGAGCGGTCTGTTCAGTGTCCGAAAGGACTTTTCGATTAAACAGGTAGATATGCTCGGTGCTTTTTCAACATAACGGGTCATTATAAGTAGTGCTGTTGAATATACTGGTTTACTTCAGTGCGGTCCTTTGAGGTCCTGTAGAATTCACTTTTCAATCAAGTTTAATATTCGCGCCGATTCTTCGATTTTTTCCCCTCGATGGACGTCATTGCTTCGAAAATGCAACGAAAAAATTGTGGGTCAGGGCAGTGAAGGTGTTTGTTGAAGCCTAGGAGGGGGGTGGAAGAAGAAATCAGAGGATGTGGGAGCAAAACTCTTATACAAAAGGAGTTTTTATATTTCGTTGAGGTTTTTTTTGCCTAGCAGCACTCACAAAACTTTACAAATAGCCGGTTGCATCTTCACAAAATTGCCCACTATATTTTATTAACAACTAAATCTATTCTGGTGGTCCGCATTCAGGTGGGAGCGACGCCATTTGAGCACGAATCGTTGGTGTTCAACAGTCGTTCAGCAAAGCTTGACCGCCTTGATGAAGCCCACGCCAAATCGACCGCCTTGCTCAATTTCGTGAGTTCCTTTTTTGTGAGTATTCCCGTTGATCACTTGTTTACATTTACTTGTGTATGGCGTCCTTGACGATAATCACATAACTAGTCGTTTTTTTTCTCGTTCTCTAGTTCTTCACATGCATTTGCGTCCTTTCAGGTCCTCCACCGAAAAGGTGAAATCAACGCTAATCTTGACAAAGAACGAAGAAAGAACAGGGAGACAGCAGGAGCGCAATTTGTAAGTGTATAACTGTTTTGGGACCATTACAATATTGGGACCAGGACGCAAGACGTCGTAGGGGAAAAATTTTGCAGATCACGGCCTCCTTCAAAATCTCCTCCTCTAGTACTAACCCCTTCCCAATCTCACTTGCCATCTTCCTTAATTCCAAATTCTCTGTTTCCTACGAATTTTCGAAGAATTTGAAAACTCCAGTCCCTCCCCTTCCGAAAACTGGCGTTGGGAGAAGTGGCGGACAGAGGGAAACCCGAGAAAAGTGACAACCGGGAACGTTTTTCCTCAAAGGCCAATACTACCCCTTCCTCCTGCGACCACATACCACCCTCATTGCTGGTGATCCCCAGCGCACGACGTGCCCCGACGAGTTCTGTACGAATCTGGATGAGCCGAGAAACAAGTAGCATATCTCCAGGCGTCTGCAAAGGCCAAGGAGCGTGCCGTGTGGTTTACGGACCTCGCTCGAGGGAAGGCACTTTCTCAGTTAGCGAAGAAGGTCCCGACCATCAAACGCCGCGAAGATGGTCTCGAGTATCTGTGCGATTACAGGTGGGTGCTCAAATTAATTAAACTTGCCAACAATTTAAATCAAAATCACTATTTCAAGGATACCGCCTTTTCGAGCGTTGTGGTATCTAAAAGTT